AAAAAAGAAATTTATGTAAATTTATAGCATGTGATTCTAGACATGTAATATTACTCTATCTACATCATCTTTACATGTTAATTTTCTTGTTAAAACATATTAATAATCATATATTTCCTTATGTCTTAATTAATTATAATTACTCTGTTAAGTAAACTTCTTAAAATTTTTAAAAGTCAAATTTTAAAACTTTTTATTCACATTATACACACCTACCTTCCTTCCGAAAATATTTCATGTCATGACATAATATGTACATCTCAAATCTAAAGAAAGGGTTTCACATAATATGAATGATACCGGAAATTTCGGTATTGACATCTGGCCAGGGCAAAAAATAATTTCTCTTAGTTACGTCCGCCCATAAAGAGCAAAAAGTCCGCACAATGGGCATCGAAGTGGCAAAATAAAACTGCTGGAGGCGGCCCTGCACGGAGGTTGGGGTAAACAATGGTGACGTAACAGCGGGAAGACGTATGACCGAACGACAAGACAATGGGCTCTTGTCTCCGTTCTCTGTCCTCACTCCTACACCTCTCTCTCATTCTTATTGGGCGGACGTTTTCTCTTCTTGTTTTACCGTACAATTTCTTCGACAGCGGCCAAACAAAAGATCCGAGATCGACCAGCAAACGGGATTTTTGAGACTCGACGAATCGCTCGTTTTATTTTTTGATATATAAAACATGCTGACACAGAAAAATTGACAATCTAACGGCGGTAAAAGTTAAAAGCTGTCAATGTGTCAAGTGGTTAACGCGTGCAAAGATCAGGCAATGTCTGTTTACTAATGTCCGTTACTACTTAACATTCCTCTCGTATATCTCAGTGTCTTATTACATAGTCCATTATGTATCTTCAGTAAATTTTTATATACTTTGCAAAAAAATAGGAATATCTGGAAAAGTATTAACTTTTGTAAAGTAAAAGTTATTCTCTGAATAAATTTCAGTAACTAGATAAAAGTGCCATATCGAGGGGAAAAAGAGAAAACAATCGGAACATCGGCGTTGAGAGATTTTTCCTTCTTTCATAAAACGCTTGATCGAGAAATTCTGCGACAAAGGGAAATCATGCATGTAAGACCCTTACCAATTATAGGGTGTTTTCTACATCGTCTAGTATCTTCTACAAACATCAAGCTCGATCTACACTTTCCGGGAACCAACTTTCTCGTTGTATGGTCTGAAGGCGATTCTTGGAGCGAGAGTAGCCCGGTCAAGCCGGTTCGCCAATTTTGGATCAAAAGTCTCTATCCTATATGAAGTATCGCCTTAACGGTAGATGGTAAAATTAAGGTCATTCTCCAATTGTGAAACGTTGGACGGATGTTTGTTGCAAGACGTTGCAGTATCATGATAGAAGCGATAAAAAGAAATATTTCGAGAGAATTGTTTTTATATATCATATAACATACTTAAAGTAATTTTAATAAAAATTTATAAATAATTTTCAGTTTTTTTCTACAAATTTCAAATTAACATATCAAATTGAAAAGCGTTATTTTTAATATGTAAGAATATTTATAATATTTTATATAAAACTGCTTTTTTTAATTATTTTAAAATTGGTTAATCAATTGACAATTTAAAAATTGCTGTGTTATAACAAGAAAAAAATAAAATTAACTTACTCGCGGAACGTCGGTCACTTTTCTTTAATAATTATGATTCTGCTGTTGCCACAATAGTGTAATTGCGCGCAATCACCACTCAATAAAATCTCGTATTTATCGATACGAATGACAGGAATACTAATTTCTACAAATAAAGAATTATGCACGCACTATCGATCACAGGAGAATCACGAATCGAACTGAGACCGGTTACGTAGAAGCGCGCGAAAACTGTTAAGCTCTATCCCCATCCATGGCGTCCTGATGCCAAGAATAAACTCGAAGACTCCCCACCCTACACCATGAAAATCATTTATGTATATTGTACAGCTTTCCATCTCACGATGCAGCTTCTACGACTTTTGTTACATTCTGATTTCGCAATGATACTCTACTGTGAGAGAGAGAAATATAAATATATTAATTTCTTTTAATTAATACATTTTTTTATACATACATATTAATTTCATTCTATTAATTTCTTTTTAATTATTGTAATATTTATTATTTATATTTATAAATTAGATATATTTTTTATATAGATTTGCTCTCTTTCTCTCTCTCTCATTTTCTCTTTCTCATTTCGATTTAAAAATTAAAAAACTATCCATTTCACAAACAAATATAAAAAACTTTCTCTCGGTATGTTCCTTTCTTCAGTTTAATTTCAATCTAAATAGATTCAGTCTTAATTTTATTTTCTCGCAGTTCCTTAAATAAATTATCTCAAGAGAATTGAACAGATAGATGTTTCATATAACGTTAACCCGGAAACACAGAGGATTCATTACACTTCCGCTTCGCTTCGCGCGTCACCGATCAAAGATAAAGATCAGAAAAGCTTCAGCTCGCGTCGACTCATATAACTCAGCAAATCGTTAAAACGGATCGTTCGTGCGAGCACGGTACCCTAGGAAATGTATTTTGTGTCGCGTGGGTGCAGCGTGTGGGCACCGCGATGTTTCCATCAAACGTCTCGTCACGATGGAAGTTCGTTACACTCGCGGATTCGCCAGCGGGAGGCTCTTCGTGCGGATAAATGTTGTCTCGCGACAGGAAAATGCATCTTCTAGAACTCTTTCCTGTCACTCGGCTACAAGAAAAATTGCGCGCGCAGAATCGCATTAAATCGTTAAATAAAGTAGCGCAAGTCGAAGGCTCGAGCGTCAATTGATGCGGGCGCGCCCGTCAGCGAGACAGATCGTTCCGATACTCGACAACGCGAGTGGAATTAGAATGATTTAACATAAGTATGATTTAAAACGTCTGAGCCAGTACGGGCACAATTAAGGGCGACAGTTTGGGAAATCGCGTATTGCCGTTCGTTGGGGTGATTTAGATCGCGCGTGTATCAAGATTCCTTCACAAACTCAAAATTATTTATCGATGTAGAAATAAATAAAAAAATTAATTAATAAAAAATAATTTAAAAATTTAATATAATTGAAATTTTATATATTTAAGGGATCAATATTTATATCCCTGATAAAATTCTAAAAATATTTCACGATCAATGTTTTGATGTTAAAAAAAAAAACGTTGAAGTCTATGCGCCGAGAGTTATGCGGAAGGATTTCTATAATCGATCGTGTCCTGATAACGACAGGGTACACGATCTCTTTCGCTCGCGGGGCTGCTCGGTTATTGAGAGGTGGAATTGATTCCAGTTTGGTCACACCCTCCGGCCCGGCAAACGGGGGTGGATATCCGGTAGATGGGTCACCGGCGGTATTGCGATTAACCTACCGGCATCCAATCGGCCCAACCCAAATACTGATCCGTCTCCCTTCGGCTGCGCCGTTCAGGGCCACCCTCCATCTTTCTTTCCAGTCTCGTTTGCCATCGCTCTTCGTCCCATAACAAACGCCGTCGATTTAGCATCGCGCGCAATTTGGGTCACACAGCTTTATTGGAACTCGCTGGCCGATCGCTAACGAAACGAATTGACTCCGAGAGCGTTGGTCGTCCGACGTTGCCGACGCGTGCTTTTGGGGGATTCATGACGATGACGCAATCCTTTTGATTAAAGCACTATACCGAGCAGAACAAATCGCTACATTGGATGTTCTTTGCTTAAAAACGTGGCTAAAGCCATGTAACGAGTGTAAAGCCTCCTTTTGAATGAAACTAATTTGAATAATACGTTTACCTTAGCACTATTGAATTAATTTTTTTAAATAGGAGAAAAAAATAAATTTAAGGGAACTTAGAAAAAATGCTTATTATTATTATATTTCGCGAGTTTAATTAAATTTAAAGGATTAAAACTGAAAATTTATTATATTTTTATCATATAACATTTTAATGGATATTTTTTATCTTTATATAATTTGGTTCGTTACTTATATTCTCTTGTAATTTTTACGTAATATTTTTAATAAATGTAGAAAATATATTTTGCATCACACATATATGTATATTGATTGTGACAAGCACTTTGCTCATCTCATCAAAAAGTTACGCTAGGGCAGCAGAGAAAAGTGAAGATGTAAATAGGTAGCGACAGGATAGAAATGCTATACTCGGAAGCGATTAACGCGATGGACCTTGCCCATCCATCGGGCCGACCTTTGATCTATTTCGAACCGTGAAAATCGCCCCCGTCGCGATAAACCGTCATTTTCTCTCCACTTGGCAGAACGTATTTCCGGCGGCGTTAGTCAGCCGTTCTAAATGCACTATATTAACCGTCGCTCTTTCGTCTAGCTTGCTCCCTCCCTCCCTTCCACGCCGTGAACGCTAGCCAAGTTGTATTTCTGACTAGCTCTCGCTGTCAGATCGAGGTTAATTGGGTACCATTACGACGAAAATTAGTACGAATTAGTCGATAACGATGAGTTCTTCTGGCAGGGTAAACCGCAGATCATGGCTTTCACAATATCGATAAATTAATCAACGAGCTCGTATCACTTAATTTACAGCACAAGAGTGAGACTAGCATCCACTTGTAAGAATCATATTGCAAATAAGAGAATTTTCGCCACCGGAAATATATCGTTTTTCACGAAAGAAAATTATTTCTTGTTACAATGTCGCGTCGTTTGCATGCTCGTATATGTTACGTATTTTATTTAAGCGGTTTAGAAATAAAACATAGTAATTGACACATAATGATGTTATTTTATATTCGAGCAACTTATTATGTTGTATTATCCTTTGCCAAACATATTTCGTTGGCACAAATCGATGTTATTTATTAGTTTGCGTGAGACATTTATTTAAATACCAATAATTTAAAGTAGACGACTATTTAATGTCCAATTTTAACTAATCTTTAAAAAATTATTGAAATATCACGTATATTATTTTTAAATAAAGAGATAAATTTTTGCTATCGTATTTGAAAAAAAATGATAAAAAAATGAAAGAAAGATATGCGACTCACCGTCGTCGCTGATCTCGAGATTCGTGTAGCTGTCCCAGTGCAAGATGGGATCGTGATGCGCCGATGCATGCGGCACAGCCGGCGTCGGGGCCGGCACTGGACCATCCTGGCGTTTCGCGTCGGTAGCAAAGTAGAGTGTTACCACACTGTCGGGCGGGCATCGGGGATCGTCGCAGGCGACGTCGAGCTCCGATCGCGGGAAGGACACGACGTTCTCCGTAATTACGCACGTGTGAAACTGCGGAAACAATAATGGTCTTATGTGAGAATATGTATGATTGATTCGCGTACTCAGCTCTCATAAGCTTTTTTTTTGTTCATATAGTAGGTATACATCGCAAAGTAAAAACTTTTCCTAGTTTGTAGATTCTCTGAGCAATTTAAAGTTGATTCAATCTTGATAAAAACTTAAAATCCGGAAATTGATTGGATATTCTTCGAAAAATATGCGAAATTTCTGACACAACGTGAATTATCGTAGTAAAATACATAAATATATATATATATATATATATAAAATATATAGATAATACATATAAAACACATGCAATCGGTATGCAAATTTAAATGTTACTGTTGGCTTGCGTAAACAAGTATGTATTATAATTTCGATCAAGTTAAATAAAAACGTGCAATATATTTCTATTTTTATTATAAATCTCGTCATTCTAACAAGATAAGATTTGATGCATTACATATCGTGATCGATGTGCTTTTTCCAGAGAGATTATATATATTAGTTTTTTAACCGTGTCAGAGAGAATAAAGCATGTAGTTATTAACTGATCATGATGTTACGTCGATTTCAGAGGATGTTGTTTGCCTGTCGGGTACAAAATTATCGCGCAAACACGTATCGCAGACACGTACATTTAGATCGCTATCCTTATAACTATTTACGAAGCACTTTGCATTAATTGCTATTTACACCGCTGATTTCATGTTGTGTCACATGCATACTATTATAATGCATTCATCATAAATGCATCATTGTGATGTATTTATACACGATCGACGTAAACGACATACATGTACGTTAACTTGATACTATTTGATATATCGTATATAATTCTATGTGAATGAAATAATATAAAACTCTAAATAATAAAAATTTTATAACAATTTTTTCAATAACGCAATGCATCTACTACGTGCGTTGCATTCTCACCTGGAGGGAAAACATGACCTCTCGAGTCTGCTTCGAGTATACCCTGTGATAGCACTTGACTAAAATGTCACCCCTTAGTCGAAGTCCGCCTAGATTAACTGTGAACTCGCGCGCATTTGTCACCGAATACAGATCCGAAGTGTATACCGGTGTTAGTCCTTCGTATACTTTGAGGAAGGCTCGACAGCCCGTCGGTTCAAAGAGCGGCACTCCGAGAACTGTCAGGTGGGTCAAATACAATGGCGATTGGCTGATCCTCAGGGAGCCCGATAGCAATCCACTGAAATACTCGATGTATCTGAAATATCCAAGAGACCACTCTCATGCCTGACGTTTGAAAATACAAACAATTATTTAATTTTTTATTTAAAATCTGATTCTCGTAATTTTGAATCAGTAATGTTTAAAAAGATAAAAATTTATGTTACAAATAATAAACGATGAATTAATGAAAAGCATGAAACGATCTTCCTGATGTGATCAACATCGCAAAGAAAAATAAAAAAGATAAAAAGAAACAAATTTAAGCAAATGTGCGTATGCATGAGAAATATGATGAATGAGATTGATGGTTCGAGCAACAGAAGTCTTAGCCCGTAACACGAAATGATGTACACGTCGGCACGAGCAACTAACGTTCGACATCGTTCGTCGTAAGAGATCTCTCGCCGGTAATGCTTTCATATGTTCACAAGAGCGCAGCTACACTAACGACATGCTAATGCTCGCGGCTTGCGGAATTAATGGAGGAACTCCGGTAAGCAAGACCGAGCGAGGTAAGGACCACGAAGAGGAGGCTATAGGATGAGCAGAAGAAGAAGAAGAAGAAGAAGAAGTGCGCCGAGGAAGTCGCCACGCACGCGGGCACACCTCAGTCGCGGCTCATTACGGTCATTATGAATGCGTACGGTGACGCGGATGACGAGGACGACGATAAGGACGATGATGACGGTAATGATACGGCGGCCGCGGTAACGTTGGGGTCGATGGCGCGTAATACGCGCGATAAACTGCCGGATGAATCGCATTTATTTCGCTAAAAGCAACCGGTTGGTCGAACTGCGAGTATAAATCGCGATATAAACGAAGACACGCGTGAAAATAGAGAATCGAAAGGATCGATTGGACTTCTTTGAAAAAGGATCGATTGGAATTCTTTGAAAAATAGAAAAAAATTTAGCGCAATTATTTGTCTACATAATTTATTCGAGTTATTGAGTTTCTTTTTTATTTCAGTAATCGATTTGAAAAAAAAAAAAAATGATTGTTTGTAAGAAAGATTAATGATTTGAACGCTTTAATATTGTTAGCTGTTAATACTTACAAAAATAAGTATTTTTGTGCAAATCATTCATTAAAAAATAATTATTTATCCATAAAAAATACATAATTCAATATAATGTAATATTACTCATCCAAGTAATTATTTTTACTTATATATAAATAATTTATTCGGAACATAATTATTAATTCTTTGCGATGAAAATGATAATTTTCTCATTACATATCTAAATCATTATTCAAATAATTGCGATAACTTTTCGAATCATTTAAAAGTAACTTCTCTTTTATGCATATAATTAAGATTATTTTAATAAATTTAGCTCGATGCATTTTAATCATGCAGATATGAAAAACTTTTTCCCTTTTTCCGGTTGTATTTAAATTGGAAAAATGCGTTGGCTATAAGTGCACTGGCTATAAGTGCGAACAAGATTTAAAGAGATAATCTCATGTAAGCTCGATCGCGTTTCATTACAATCATTACGAATGCACACGTCGACATGGTAATGAGGTAAATGATCAGGCTGCTGATGATGATGATGAGAGCTCGTTATCTTTGGATCGGTCATTCGTAGTACGTGCGATAGAGAATCGGTTGACAGAAATATTTCTTGAATAACAAGTACATCAAATATACACCGTGGGCAATCATTTTATTTTGTTCATATCATCTCGACTGGCGATTATCTTTCCTCGCAAGTAAATGTTGCAATCATGGTGTGAACGAAGCGATTACAGAGTAAATTAAAAAAAAAAAGATGCTGAATTATTCTGAGAAATTTCTAAGAAGTTCCAAATGAGAGGGAAA